CTTACATGCACTAGATATAATTAATAACACTGTCATTATTGATGCCCTGATTGAGCGCTACCCGTGGAGAAGATAGGTCGCGGGTTTACTGCATAAAAATTCTTACGAGAAAACATATCCTGAAAATTTGATATAATGTTCCTGAGAATTTACAGCGTATTATCTGCAATTTTTATAAAATTTGCCTACGTAGTTTTAACGCTATATTACTATAAACGCGGTATTGTTATTAGTACATTTTTTACGCTTTACTATTGAAATATATGGAAAATGACGTTTTTAAGCAAGTTTTGTGAAAATGATTTCGTTTAAAAACGTTGGATAACTTTTTAAAGACGTAGACGAATTAGTCAGGAAATTCAAAATGTCAAGATGAGGTAAAATCAAAACTATTGATTTAAAAAAAATCAATATGTCTTCTCGCTAGATTTTTCGCTAAATAATTTCAAAGTTTCCTATTATATTGCTAAAATGTTGAACGTAGTAACGTTTACAGTACGTACATAAATATTTTGACATTTGGAATATGCAAGATCTAAAAGATTTCATAGACGCAAAATTTAATTTTATTCATCATTTAACTTATTTCGAAAATATATTAGGATGACCAGCAACTTATTTTCACTAGTATTGTGAAATTCATATCATGATCACAAAGTCAGAATGAACGGTATAAACATTCCTCGTGCATGAGAATTAACATGCAGCGACAACACCGCGAGTGATAAAATATATAGTTCCTGTTTTTCTTAAGGAAATTCGTGCATGGTCAATGGTAATTTAGGCATACCATATAAATTTGATCTCTTTATTCGAAAACGGTAAAGAAAAAAAAATCCCGATACTGAGAAATTTGCGGGGGGTTACCTACAATGTTCCTTCTATAGCCTAGCATACAACATCACATTTTTTATTACAACTGGAACCATCAGGGCCCAGGGCAGCAAGTACATGTTATTCGTTGAGAAACACTTTCCAATCCTGAAATGTGTACTCAGCCAAATTCTTCACTTGAAACTTCCACATTCATCGGTAGAAAACACGGAAACAGAAAATCAGTCATCAAACGAGTCGAGAGTTGTCGAAACTGATGATGAAATAACACTAGTAAAAACGGCAGCTCAAGCACAGAGCCAAGATAAACTTAGTGACTAGCATCTAGTAAACCTACCCAGATTTGAAAGTTCCATGACTGATGCAATAGGCAAGCTTGAAGCCAGCCAAGAAAAGGACATGAACTACTTGGTCACCCTTATCAATCAAAACAATGATGCCTGTTTAAAGAAATTACATCAGTGTGCAAGAGAATTAGAAGAGATTAAAGATGTCTGTCTATCTCTTAATAAATTTAAAATGGATGTCACCGAAACGCTCGAGAGAATGGAGAAACAGCTGAAAACTCCCATGTCTTATTCTCAAGCAGTGAGCTCCTCCAATGTTGGTTTTCGCATATCAGCTCACAGACTTAATATTGAAAGGGGTCGATATATAGGCATTCCTAGAGAAGAAAGACACTGCAATAGATGCAATGACAAAACAGTTGATGATGAGAAACATTTTCTCCTTTCATGTAATCACATTAAGGATGAAAGAAAAGTCTTGTATGAATTAATAAACAAATCCTGTAAGAATTTCCACAACTTGGACAGTGATAATAAGTTAAATTGGCTCATGACTAATGAGGATGTGCAAATACTGATTCAAATCAGTAAAATGATTATGAGTGCTGAAGTATGAAAAGTTTTAGTAAATCTATGAAAAGTTTTTTTTATTTTTTTTTTATTTTTATTGTAAATTAAATGTGTCCCCCCCACCATTACCTTCTAAAATGTACAGAATCAGTCAGAATGGGTGTCTTGAATACTTAGAGTACGGGTTTGCCAGTATAATCGACTGTGCAGAGGCATCTTCCCCTGGTACCCTCTGTATCCAAGTTACCTTTTCTTTACATTAATTGTATGCTACCTTCAAGATCACAGATTTACATTTATACATGATAGTACCATTTGTTTAAATATATACATATATTTGTATGTAAATTATTATTTTTGTATGCATGGATATGTGTAACAATAAGTGTGTGTTTGTGTATGTGGGTATGCATATATTCAGATTTATAGAATGTTTAATATCTATTGAACTAACTCCAAGAGATTAGTTCATGCACCCTTCAGGCTGCAGTGTCCGTAAGTTTAGACCTCAAAAGACTGGCCACAGAAAGAATATGGTTGCAGGAAATTTATTTGACGGAGTTTCAGACGAAAATACAAGTAGATGTGACAGACATAGAAAAATCCAAGAAAGCGCCGATGGGGACCTTGGTTTATTATAAGGTAAGGGTAATTTTTTTTATCAAAAGAAAAATAAGTAACGTCAGGTGCCTGTGGGGAAGGCATATTGCTTTGCTCCTGTTTTTCGGTCTGTCGGTTCACTTAATTTCCTTTCATTTTCTTCGCAACCGTTGCACATACTGTAATGAAATTTGTATATACAGATATATCACATGAATATCTAGGTCAAGTTTTGTTTTGGATACAATCGCGCCATTTTTGACAGAGTTATGCCCCTTGGACTTAGAGAAATTTCAATTATTTGAAGTTTCCGTTTATTTTCTTCGCACCCGTGTCATTTAATTTACGTTTTAAATTTGATATCAATACGGAACATTTTCAACATTTAGAGCCTGACATATAAATCTTATCGAATGGATAACAGTCTTAATTATTTTTTCAGACATGATTTTTTTTCAGCTTTAAAGCGGAAATCCGCCATCCGGATTTATTATTTCCGCTCTAATTTTTCAAATCCGCTTTTATAGTAATTCGGATTTTTTTCCGTAACTAATTTGACTTTTACTTTCTTCGAAACACTTCCTTTATTTTTTTATGTGAACGGCTTATTCATTGGTTGAATAATTGCCTCCTTGTTGACTTTCTCCAATCAGGAGTCCGTTTATGTAACGATCGAGATAATGTTTAACAATGTCTGGACATGTGGTGCAGCGAGAACAATCAGATGTTCAGGCAATTGATAAGGGCCTTCGCAATTGTTGGAAGTGGGAATGGTTGGAAAAGGTCGAACCGATCTCAAAATACATCCGTAAAATAAACTTGAAAGGCATGCCAGCTCTGCAACAAACATATCAGTTATGCGGGTAGGGGATGGAGAAGTTTGGACCAACATCTAACAAAAAAGATCCACCGTGACAACGTAAAGTTTCAAGAATCTAATTACAGATTGTCAAGTAAGTTACTTAAATATGTTAAAGCGAATGAGAAATATATAAATATGTAGGTATTTTAATATCTTACTGGTATACAATGTAAAGTACTGTTTTCTCGGATATTAAGTATTGAAGCGCTGTTGAATCGTGTGCAGAAATAAAATTTTATTTATCATTAAAGATTTGCCTTTTCAAAATATTCAAATTTATTTTAGGTACATTTGGTACTTCAAAACCTCCCCCAAACTTCCATATGGGCTGAACCCCATATTCAAAACTGTTGTCGAAGAAGAAAAAGTGGCTGCACCAATAACACCCATTAGTGATCGTATTGCTAATGCGAAGGCAATTGTTTTAGGATTTGCAGCAGAACATTCATTATCGTTCTCTCTTGTGCCCAAAATCATAGAACTCACTAAAGCACTAGCAAAGGATGTGAAAGCCCTGGATTCTTTAACAATGAATCGCACTACAGCCTCCTATTTAAGAAGATATGGAGTGGGAAAAACATTTAAATATTATGTTACAGAAATGATGAAATGTACAAAATTTTCATTGAACATGGATGAAAGTACAAGCAACAATTTTCAAAGAGTGTTGACAGTCTCGTTAGCTTTTATTGTCCTGTGATGAGGCAAGTGAAAGTTTGTCACTTTGGATCACTCTCCTGCATTAAAGTTGACAGTGCAACTCTGTATGGAGAAATTGTTCAGCTAATGGAGAAGAATGAAATTCCTTGGGACAATATGATGTCAATTTTGATGGATTCATGCAATGTAATGAGGGGGTCGAAGTCGGGACTAGAAACTCGGACACGTAGAGAGAAAGCTCCACACCTTCTTGATATAGATGGAGATGTATGTCATCATGTACATAATGCTGCTAAAGCATTTTGTAAACCATTCAACAACTTTATAGAGCAGTTGTACATTGACCTTTTCAATGATTTTAAATGGTCAGCTGATTTAAGAGAACTGTTGCAGGAAATATGTCTGATATGTAATGTGAAATACACCATGCCACAGAGATATGTCAGTCATAGATGGCTCTCTGTTTATGATGTTACTTTGGATGCCTTGAGAATTTTAAACTGCCTTACTTTGTTTATTTTCCATGGATTTCTGAGTCAGTATCGGAGAGGGCCAAGTATCTACCAGTAACGGCAGAGATAATTCACCGACTTAATGTTTCGGAGTCATCGAGAAACAGATTGCATGAAATCAGAATGGTAAGTACCATTGACAGTTGCCTGTTGTGTTCTTGATCCAGTCATTACCTAATAATAAAAATGTGTAATTTTTAAAAAATTTTTGTTAAATTTATTTAATTACATGACCGACTTTTATAATTACTTTTTCTAAAATTGTTTTTCAGCATGTTCACTTTCAGTTACTTTTTTTTCCCCTGCCGAAATATGGCTGAAATATTGCCGACTCGGCGTTAAACACCAATCAATCAATCAATCTAACATTATTTTTCAGCATGTTCACTTTCAGTTTCTTGTTTCAACTTGTTTCAGTTCAACTGACTTGGAAAATAGGTATTTATGTTACTAAGGTTACTAATACAATCAAGATACATTATTTTGAAAGTATATAATATTGATTTATTTTGTTTTAAGAACTGTTAATTATTTTTTTTCTTCTCTATATCCTATGTAATCAGGTCATTATCTACTTTGTACTCTACAGGAACTGTTGGGAAAAAAAACTAACTAAGGACGGAAGGGACAGGAAGTTGAGGATAGTCAACAAACTTTTTCACGAAAGGAAGCTTGCAAAATTGATAATGGGACTCATCAGTCTTCCCCTTACTGAAGAGCTTTGTGATACTTTTCGAGATGAAGGAACCTCTTATTCACTTGCTACATGAAGAACAGGTAATCTTGAAATTATGAAAATGTTTTTTACCAATGAATCCTTGTTTTGTTTTTAGTATTATCTCTTACTGAATTGTGCATAAATTATTGAGAACTTTCCTTGCAGGTTAGACTGTTTAAAGAATTCTTAGTTTGTTTCATCAAGCCCGATGTTGTGCAGGGGGCCAAATCATCATCAAGGTTGAAGAAACTGGATATTTCAAGCCAAAACAATCAGTTAAATGCAGAAAACATGTTTCTTGGGGTGAAGGCACAGTCAGTGGTCATAAAATCAACCAAGAAGGATTATGTTGTCAAAGGCTTTCTGAAACAAGTAAATTATTTATATTTTGTATTCAAAGTACATGTATTACTTATTTTGCCATATTTTTTAAACCTGTCTTTTTGTTAAAAATAATTCTAGTACACATTGTTTCTTTCAGGTTGGTGATGACTACACACTCTGTGGCAAGGTGTTGCAGGATAAGTTACCTTTAACCAACCCACTCCTTCAATCACTGGGGGCTATCCATCCAGAGACCAGGGGCCATTCTCAGACTTTGTCATATATGCAGAAGCTTCCTACATATGCCACCACTGTACTCAATGAAGCTGAGGCTGAGGAATATGACCAAGAAATCAGGAAGTTTCATATTGACAATTCACTTCCAGAGATAGAAGATACCAGAATAGATCATTGGTGGGGAAAAGATGAAGTTGCTCAGAAATATCCTAACCTCTCAAAACTGGTATACAGGCTTTACTTAGCTGTTTCCATGGTCCTCAGGTGGAATCATCTTTCAATGTCATGAATGATGTTATAGACAACAAGTCTGGAAGATTGAATCTGGAGACCTACAGTGCCATACAGACTATTAAATACAGACTTAGTGCTGATGAAAAAACAGCCATTCAGTTTTTTCACAAGAAGGATTATATGCATGAAAGTGTGGACAAAATACTTTGCAAAAATATGAACAGTTCCAACAAGGAATATAAAGCTGATCTAGATAAGAAAAAGTTTTAAAACAGAGACAGTTAGATATTCGTGTTCAAAATTCTGAATCTAAGAGAAAGGCAAAAGAATTGATTGTCCATGCTGCCAAGAAAGCTAGACTGGGACATATTGTCAAAACCTTAAAAAATAAATAACTTCAGTGTTTCTCATTGTAATTTATTTCTCCAAAAATGAACTATAAGTAGACATTTTCAAGTTTATTTTTTACATTGAAAATTTAAATATGTGCTCTAAAATTCTAAAATTCAGTTCTCAGAGGGCTTTTAAATGTTAAAATAACCATTTTCGGCCAGGGGCCTTCGGCCCCCCGGACCCCCTGATCAGGGGCGCTTGAAACCCCGCTGGGGGAGGACCCCCAGACCCCCCTTCAGCTTTTTTTCCTTTTCTTTGGAATCATGTCTGATTTTTGGAGTGTTTATAACGAATCCGTCCATCCAGTTTCTGGTAAGCGAGGTCAGATATTTGGATAAAATGCATTCATGTGTAACTATTCTCTTTTCTCCACGTACGTCTTTCCTTATGCCCATTTTTAGCTCTACTGGTCAGAGACCAGAAGAGCTTATGCGATAGTAATGCGTCCGGCGTCCGTCCGTCTGTCTGTCTGTCTGTAAACAATTTTTCAAAATGCTACTCCTCCTACAGTTTTGGTCTGATTTCAATATAACATGGCACACAAGTAGACTACACTAAGATACATAATTCTGTGTATCGGTTTTTGATTTCGATGAACGGTGTTGCCGTGGTTACTAAAAATAGAATTTTTTGTGAAATTCTTTCAAATTGCTACTCCTCCTACAGTTTTGGTCTGATTTCAATATAACATGGCACACAAGTAGACTACACTAAGATACATAATTCTGTGTATCGGTTTTTGATTTCGATAAACGGTGTTGCTGTGGTTACTAAAAATAGACTTTTTTGTGAAATTCTTTCAGAATGCTACTCCTCCTACAGTTTTGGTCTGACTTCAATTAATGATGGCACACAGGTAGACTACACTAAGATACATAATTCTGTGCATCGGTTTTTGATTTCGATGAACGGTGTTTCCGTGGTTACTAAAAATAGAATTTTTGTGAAATTCTTTCAAATTGCTACTTCTCCTACGGATTTGGTCTGATTTCAATATAACTTGGCACACAAGAAGATTACACTCAGATACACAATTCTGTATATCGGTTTTTGATTTTGACGAATGGTGTTGCTGTTGTTACTAAAAATAGCTACTCCTCCTACAGATTTGGTCTGATTTCAATATAACTTTCTACACAAGTAGACTACACTCAGGTACATAATTCTGTGTATCGGTTTTTGATTTCGATGAACGTTGTCGCCATGGTTACTAAAAATAGAAATTTCTGTAAAATTCTTTCAAAATGCTACGTCTCCTACAGTTTTGATCTGATTTCAATATAACTTAGCACACAGGTAGACTACACTAAGATACATAATTCTGTGTATCGGTTTTTGATTTTGATGAATGGTGTTGGCGTTTGTTACTAAAAATAAAATTTTCAATGAAATTTTTCAAAATGCTACGTCTCCTCCAGTTTTGGTATGATTTCAATTTAACTTGCCACACAAGTGGACTACACTAAGATACATAATTCTGTTTATCCATTTTTGAGTTCGATGAACATTATTGCCTTGGTTACTAAAAATAGAAATTCCTGTTAGATGCTCTCAAAATGCTACTCCAAATACAGTTTTAGCCTGATTATAATATAATGTGGCATGCAAGTAGACTACATTGAGAACATAAAGAGACTTATAATCAAGGATCATTATTCTATTTATTGCAGATGTAAAGTTTCAATTCCCAACTTCTATTCTCTTCCTTTGCTATAAGTACAAACCAGTAGAGCTTCAGTCTCGACAGAGACTTCTGGTTAAAAAAAGTCTGCATTGCTTAGTATTCGGCGCTCATGAAATCCGTGATATTTTAAAATTATGTTTATACGAAAAACACATGAGTGAGGTGGATCTATACACATGGAATTTAAACGTCATCGATGAAAATCCACATGGAATTTAAACGTCATCGATGAAAATCGGAAAGCTAAGCAAACTTATATTTAGCAACATATAGTATATTCTGGTAAATGTTCAAATTGAACTTAATAAGAACTTGCAGGTGTGATTTATTCCTCCGTAAACTATTACATTGTATCATGCATTTTTTTCTTTACCGAAATTAAAATGTTACGGTAAATGTGTGGGGAGTACCTTATTCTTCAAAAGTTTTAATCTTACTTCTAAAGATTTTGATTAAAAAAAATTTTTTTTGAGGAAAAAAAAAAACAAGAGCACGTATTTTCGTTTTGTTCTTCTAAAGGATGTGTAAAAATGCTGCTGTCTGATTGGACAGAAAAATAATTACGTGATGTATATTAATAGCAACTTTCAGTTATCGTTCTTGACTTCCATATTTGGAAATCGTGCAGACCTGAATAGATACATGTATAGTAAAATTCTAAATTGTTCTTTGAAATGTTCGATAATTCTATACAGAAATCTTAACCATCAATAGACTAGTGGGTATTATTAACAAAAAGGAGGGTAATGCCTCCCCTTCTTAACCAAAATTTACAAGTGCAGCCTTGAATGAAGAAAGTGGTCAAGGTCAAACATTTAGATTTAGTGCATTTAGTCGACTTATGTTATTCTCTGTTTGACCTTGAATAAAGAAAGGCGTCAAGGTCAAAGTTCTGGTACACTTGTCTTCACCTTGTATTGAATATCTTCCTTCTATGTTACAAGTTTAAAGTCCTAATATCAAAGGGTATTAAAGCTATAGCCTGCTGGCTATTTTTATGTTTCAAGTTTTACCTTATATAAATTGGATCAAGGTAAAAAATTTTGGTCACATACACCCTTCCTTTATGTGTCCTCTGCATGTTCCAAGTTATGGTCAAATGGCTTCTTTTCTATTTGACCTTGAAGAAAAAAGGAGTCATAGTCAAAGTTCTGGTGCACTGCAATTTGTGTTTAATGTCCTCTTTCTA